TTGGCCGGGACTGATGCTTGGCTCGAGCAACTCTTCTTCTTGGGTCATTGCCTTAATATGATCTGGGGAATCCAGACCAAGTTTCGACAAGATATCTGCCTCAGCGTTCTCTTCCCGAGGGACCTGCTCTATCCGGTACGCCCCAAATGCTTTAAGCAACTCCAGGGCAGTGTCTCTATACTTCTTCATTAGTTCATCCTTAGCCTCAAACTCTCCAGTGACGTGGCCTACTACGAGCTTAGAATCACACCAGACTTGGATCCGTTCAGCTCTTAATGAGGCTGCCAACCTTAAGCCACAAAGTAATGCCTCGTACTCGGCCTCATTGCTCGAGACTTTAAATCGGAACCTCACAGAGTAGTAAGCTTTGAACCCTTCTGGTGATATCGCCACGACTCTTCCCCCCGAAGCATCAGTTGCGGACGATCCATCGGTGTACACAGTCCACCAACTTCCTTCGGGTTCCTCTCCGCTAGGTCCTACTTCTCTTGCGGTGCATTCTACCACGAAATCTGCTAATGCTTGCCCCTTTATCGCCGGTCGCGGCTTGAACTCTATCTGGAAAGACCCCAGGAACACCCCCCACTTGCTGACCCGTGATGGGGCATTTGGGCTTCGAAGAAGTGTTCCAATAGGAATCTGTGATAACACGTGGACCGGATGGGCTTGAAAATATGGGGTAAGCTTTTTTACCGTACATACCACCGCAAAGATGGTTTTCTCCATGTTTGTATATCTCATCTCCGCCCCTTGTAACACCCGTGCCACATAGTATACTGGTCGCTGTGCGCCCTCCTCCTCCCTCACTAGCACTGAGCTCACAGCTCGAGGAGAGATTCCTAAGTATAAGAATAAGGTCTCTCCGGGCTCTGGCTTCGAAAGCACCAGCGGGGAGAGGAGGTATGCTTTCAACCCTTCAAAGGACCGTTGACATTCTTCGGTCCAGATAAACCCTCTGCTCTTCTTGATGGTCTGAAAGAAAGGAGCCGCTCGATCGGCTATCTTTGACAAGAAGCGACTGAGAGCTGCAATCCTGCCGGTCAGCTGCT